GGGGGGAGCCGCAAAACCTCGAACTTAAAACTTACACTCACTATTTTCTTCGAAAATATACGTGAGTTCCACAAAAAGAAAAGAAAAAGAAAACAGACAAAAAGAGAACGAATTAAATATGAACTTCACAAATAGCTATTTATCTATTCATTTGTCTCTATAATAAAACTACATAGATTATGTTTCATATGAGATATCTATTCAGTTTCATTCTCTTACATTTCATTTTTGCTACTCCACAAATCAATCTTCATTATACAGATTGGCTAAATGAAAATGAAATTAATACTGTATTATAACACAATTGTTTGCGTGTTGCTGCTTCTATTGATGAAACAAATGTTAATCATCAAATTATATCTTATTGTATCAATGAATTGCCATCAAAATTTCATATAGAAGACAATGATGTCTTTCCAAAGTTTACATTTGGTGAACTTTCGAAATTGAGTATTACTAGTCAACAATTATATCTTTGGTCAGCACCGATCGATCTTGTTGAACGTTATCAATTCTATTTAAATCAATTATTAACATTCAATGCTATATCTCTCGAAAAACAAGTTTTCTATAATTGTACACTACCAAGATTTGGTTCTATGTGTCAATATGAAATTATTTATTATCATTCAAATCATTCATCTTTATATGAAATGATTCGTGATTATTATCTTTTATATGAATATAATCCTACTAATTTCACCTGTTATACTCATTTACAATGTAATCGTGGTCCTTTTCCAGTATGTTTAAATTGGAGTGAAATATGTGATGGGTAAGTGCATTGCCTCGATGGTGATTTTGATGAAGAACATTGTTGGAAACTTGAAATAAATGAATGTAGTGATAATGAATATCGATGTACCAATGGACAATGTATACCACAGTCATTTTTTCGAGATGATATTAATACTCCTGATTGTCTTGATGGTTCTGACGAAGTTCCAAAATATGGTGGAGCATTGACCTACTGTAATAAAGTCATGCCATCATTTGATTGTGAAGAAAGGATATGTCAGTATACTTTCGTGACAAACTCTTGTGTCACAACGCAAAACCTTACTATTGAAAGCAATCTATTCTACTAAAGACAATTCGATATCTGAACAATGTTGGTCAGCATTTAAATGTCTCTTGGAAGTATCTGGCTCAGAAATTCCATTGTGCACTAATATTTGTCAAAAATTCGCTTGTGTTGAGATCATACAAAACACATGTCCGGATATGTTTTACATTCCGAATGTTCCGATTTTTTTTGGTCACATTTACCTTGCACACACAATAAATGATTCATTAGCTTTGGCCAATAGACATTTCGCACCACCTTATGTATGCTATAACAATTCCCTTTATGATGAGTATTTTATTGATTGCCTAAAAATTTCTTTTAAAAATAGAACATGTTTTCGTCCTCCTGTGCTAGGGTCTCATATGACTTTGGCCACTGCGTGGGAGCCAAGATATCATAAGTCGTTATTACAACTACATAGAGACTTAAGGAAATTTAGCCTAATTATTAACTATACTGCTACAATTTGTAATACACCAAACATGTACCAGTGTTTGAATTCGATCAAATGGGTGTGGGTGTGGGTGTGGGTGTGGGTGTGGGTGTGGGTGTGGGTGTTGGTGTGGGTGAGTGTGGGTGGGTGTGGGTGTGGGTGTGAGTGTGTATGTGGGTGTGCATGTGCGTGTAGCTTGCGCGCATAAAGTACATCGACACTGCGCACCCACCCACACCCTCGCTCTGTTTCCCCGCGCAAACGGTGCACATCTCTACCGCACACTGACACTTCGCCCACATTCTCATTTCTTACGATTCTTTTTGATTCTTGGTTTTTTTCTTTGAAATAATCATCAGCTTTTTTTCTCCGTTCTGTTGTATCGCTTATATGAGTGCTTACAGCCATCCACGCTAGTAGCAGGTTTTTTCCTGTTTAAATGTTGATCGAGCATTTCTGTGAAAAAAAGCTTTTCGTTACGTTTCGAAGAAAGAAGCAAACGGCCTGTCGTTATTTTCTACGTTCACAAACAGCTTGTAAATTTACTTTTGATATTCAACAAGAAGCGTTATCTGTTGGAAAGCATATAAACGAAGGTGAGTGTACTACAATCTAAGTATGCTAATTATCACAGCAATATAGGTGACTTTCGATAAATTTTTCAAAAGCCATTGTGGAGCGGTACAGCAATGTCATGACAGCTTTAGAATCTAGCTGCGTTCTGGTAGCCCCGAGTTTTCGATGGCTACGATGGTGGCAGAAGCTGATTCGTGACCACGATGGACGTATCTAATGCATTAAATCATACTTATTCCTCATTATATTACAAGTAACGCTCGTCTGCAGACTCGCTTAGCTCTTTCTCGTAGAAATAGTGCGCCTAGGATCTCGACAAATCATTTATTCACAATGCTTTATGGAGTTTAGGTTTATCAGAAAAACATGCCATCATAAATCAGTGTTTTTATTTTTTTTACTACATATTTGATTATGAAGAATATACAAATAATATTGCAGTCATTTTGTTGCGTCAGTAATCCCAGGTACTTCATGCAGTCTTTGTCATCCACCCACTTAATTTTCTCGCATTAGCTTTTGTGGAACGCACGTATATTTTCGAAGAAAATAGTGAGCGTAAGTTTTAAGTTCGAGGTTTTGCGGATCCCCCCCCCCCCCCCCCCCCCCCCCCCCCCCCCCCCCCCCCCC